GTCACCGTGTGGCCATGCGGGTGCCATCCACGCCGAGGCCCCCGAGCTCCCACACCCCACCGGGCCCCTGGACTCCCAGACCCCACCAGACCCCTGGACTCCTGACCCCACCGGGGCCCCCGAGCTCCCACACCCCACCAGACCCCTGGACTCCTCAACCCACCGGGGCCCCCGAGCTCCCACACCACACCAGACCCCTGGATTCCTGACCCCACCGGGGCCCCAGGGCTCCCACACCCCACCAGACCCCTGGATTCCTGACCTCACCGGGGCCCCCGGGCTCCCACACCCCACCGGGGCCCCCGGTGCTTTACTTACATCTCCATGACTGTTTTGTAGCTACCAATTTATATTTATTAATCCCTTCACCTCTTTCAGCAACCATCCCTACCCCGTTTCCCTCTGTCTATGAGTAGCCCCTGGGCATTTTTTTAAATATATATTTTATTGATTTTTCACAGAGAGGAAGGGAGAGGGATAGAGAGTCAGAAAGGGGCCCCAGGGCTCCCACACCCCACCAGACCCCTGGATTCCTGACCTCACCGGGGCCCCCGGGCTCCCACACCCCACCGGGGCCATCACAGCTGGGCGTGGGGCTCAGGGCAGTCTCCCCAGCGGGTGTCACTGCACCCAGACCCACCCAGACCCTCCCGCACGGCGGGGCCACAGTGGGCGGCGAGGCCGAGTCCTGCCCGGGGCTGACGGGGGGAAGGGGTGTGAGGTCGGGGTGAGGCCTGGTGGGAGGAAGATCCATGAAGCCGGGTGCCACTTGGCATAGGGAGTGCAGGGCTGGGCCTGCATGGGCAGCCCGGCGGGGGGCAGAGCGGGCGAATGAGCCTGGGCACAGGCTCCGGGCTGAGACCCCAGATGAGGCAGGTGAGGGCAGGAGGGCAGTGCTGCTGGGCGCTAAGTGTGCCCGCCTGCCCACTGCTGGTGCGTGGGGCCCTTTACTTACTGCCCCCCAAGGTGGGGCGGGGGCGGGGGAGGAGGGCGACAGAGAGAGCACT